GAGGAACCATTGGGGGGGGCAGGGGGCCGGCCGAGCCGGGATCATATATAATTCCGCGTCGCGCGTCGGTACCCCCCGCCCCCATGGTATGCGCCCGTGAGGGTCGTCACTTTTGTCTCCAAAGTGCCAATAGTCACAGGGATGGGCCCCCCAAATTCAGAATCCTTGTGAGTGTTGTGACTTTTGAAGCTATGCAACCTGTTTCCTGTCCAGAGTGGCGACATTCACCTGGATCCAGCTGCTGACCCTCAACCCTAAACTTACCCTCGTTGAGAGTTGTGTGTGGTGTTTTTCTAGTCCTACCTGACAACGCCGGACATGGTCAAATGAACTGATGTCTGTGTTACTTTGTCTTTCAGCTGGACCGGTATCGCTGCAGACCTTGTCAGGCTTGTCCGAGTGTGAGTGTCAAACACCCTTTCATACCTGTACACTTAAACCCTGAACAACGCCACCACACACACACACACACCACAGGGGAGTCGGGCGATGCTGCACCAGATGTGAGGGGTTGGGCGGGCCCAAAGCTTGAGGGTCGTAACACGACCCCGACGCCCAGCAGAAAGAAAGAAAAGAGGAAGAGACAGAGAGAGAGAGAGAGAAAGAAAGAAAGTAGCCATTTTGGCTCAAGTCTCGAGAACTGGGGGACCCGCTCCTTTGGGCCCCCTGGGGCTTGAGCCACACGCCGATGCCGTTTCTCTGACGAGATGCCCCCCCTGTCCCCATTTCTCTGACGAGATGCCCCCCCTGTCCCCATTTTCAATTGCGCACGCTTTCAGGCATGGGGGGCCATGTGAAATGTAGTGAAACCGGGAACCTTTTTCTGTGCAAAAGTCGCTCAAAGTTGCTTCAGCTCAGCCTGGCTTTGCTTAGTTAGCACGCTGTGGAAAAGAAGGGGACCTTTGTCTGAGACAATGAGATGCTGCAGTTTTGTCGCGGTGGGAAGCCGGCGGGGTGCACACCCCAACTAGTCTTAACCTGGCTGTGGAGCAGTGCCGAGCACCGGCGCGCTCCCAAACGCACATGCCTAAACTTACAGCCAACGCTCGGGGGACGGCGGTTTGCGTAGCCGGCCCACTGCCAGGGCACCGAACTCCTAACTCCAAACGTAGCGGTCCTGGGGGGCTGCCCCAGGCTTTTTTGAAACAGGTGCGGGGTCATTTGAAGCACGTTTTTGCAAAGCAGCATAAAGCAACGGTTGTTCAAAGCAAGGATTGGCTTGACCAGCAAGGCGTGCAAGAAACTTGGGCCCGCGGAAACTCGGGCAACGCCTCCTGTGTGCTAGGGGCATCGGAAACCTGCCGGGCAACTGGGAACTCGTAAGCGGGTTCGTGCCGACGGTGCCCAGAGCCAGGTGTTGTCGTGAGTGCGCAACTTTCCGGAGGAGACACGGGCTCGAACAGACCCCTACCTACTGAAGCGGCGCCACCCTCCCAAGCAACCAGTCGGGGGATTTTGGAACTCAACTACCACGGACGAGCGGGGCAATGGAGAGGGACGAACCTCCGGATCGGAGGATGAAGAAGGCAACTTCAAGAAGCACTGGAGCTGCACACGGCGGGGTTTGGTAATGTTTGGTAAGCAAACGCCGTGTAGTCGACTCGGAGCCGCGGAAACTTGGGCAATGCCGGCGACTTCCTAAGCGGGTTCGTGCCGACGCAGCCCAAAGCCAACTGCCTATAGCGGGTGCTGTCGTGAGTAACGCGAAGTGAGTGCCAACCGGGGGAGCCGTGCTTGGCAGTTTAGCTTCTGGACTTAGGTGGTGGCGTTACAAATCCTGCGAAGGCGGCTCAGGAGCAGAAGCATCGGGGGAAGGGGGCGGGCGGTGTGCTTCCATGGGGTCTGACTCAGGAGCCCCATGGCCCTCCGAGTGCAGGGCGCCCAAGCAGAAAGAACTTGCATGTGGTGCCGATGAAATGCTTGTCCTCTTGCACATCCGACCCATGTAGCCCTTCCAGTCAGGCTTGCTTTCTCAACGGGCTGCACTGGCCTGAGCGAGAAGAAGGCACAACGTCTTCGGCACGGAGTCGAGGTCCCAACCCAAATGCTGTGTGTCTGCAGGCAGGAATCGAATTGGCATGGCTGGTGGCCAGAGTCACCCCTCGTCTTCAACGTTTGGTGCTGGCAGGGTAGTAGGCTCAGCGAGGTCTGAGAGCCACACTTTGCCTGCAGCTGCGCCTCACAAGAAGCCAAGATGCCGGCCGCAGGTCTGATGCGTCGCCTTCACTTGTGCAAGGAATTTTGGAGGCCATCTCCAGGCGAGAAACTCATGATGCTTTCGTGACGTGATGCCGTCGCCCCTGCTTCCATGCCACAAAACAAGGGTCGTAGGCAGATGGTTCGAGCAAAGCATCAGTACGACACGAGATAGTATGACTGTTCAGTATTGGTTGGGCAACCTCACTTGCAAAGCTATAAGAACATGTGTAAGTACAAATCACCGCCCACGGGCGCCGAAACCAAAAACCCTATGCAAGCGAATATCCCAAAATAAACTTACGCTTTGCGAAGTCCAGTGGTCTTCCTAACGCTTTGTGAATCAAGGCATAGTCTAAGGTCGCCCTATAGGGCTCGAATGTAGTGGGGAAAATTCGTTTAGGTTGTGCTGTGCGGCGGGGAAGCAGCCTCTCAAGGAGGAAGAGCACCATACATGCATGCGGAGTCTGTCCTGTTCATGTAGCTTGTCCTTGGACGATGTTGTCGGAAGCTGCATAGGCTTTGCATGCATGAGAACCAACCGACTGCCCTTGTGGCAAACGTGCTGCCCTTCGAACCGAACCAGCCTGGCCTGCATTGTCAAATCTGCGAGAGTGCAAACAAAGAGCACCACGACGACCAAAACGACCACGACTACTTCCACGACCACCACGACCAGGATGACTCAGGTCGACCACCACCACCACCACCCAAGTATGCGAGAATCAGAATCCATCACTTTAATCCAATTATTGGAGCTTTGCGGCCGGATTCCGAAGGGTGACGAAAAGAATTGTTTGCCCCCTGAGCCGCGACTTGGTCAGCTGGGCGGCTGGAAAAAAAGCATTGCTGCGATTCAAGGTTTCCGAAGCTGGCCCATGCACTTGGAGTCTAGGTGCGGCCGCACGGATCCCTTGTAAAAACAGGACATGAGCGCAAAGTGCGCACTGTGCGTCACAGCGGGAGCCACGAGTCGGCGAACGGTTTTCGACTGGTCTCGTTGCCTTGAACGTCGAAGCCCATAGTGTCGCCGCGCTGCTTGAGGAAACACAGCAGCCCTCCAGGCTAGTTCATGTAATGCTAGAATAAGATACTCCGTAGGAAGACCTCATCTGCATCACGGATGTTCACCTTTGCGCTGTTCAGTGACTTTTCTCTTGCTGTTGCAGGTCCCCAGCCACCGCTGCCGAGCGGGCCAATGACTTAACTGGACGCGATCCATTTCCGCCGGTGTAGAGTCAGGGATGGACAACCCCGGAACCTCCTCTGCACGTTGACCTTTCCTGCAGCCCACACGACAGCCACGCAATCTTTCATCTTGTCTGACCGTCGTAGCAGTCCGCGACCAAGTGTGGTGTGAAAGTAACTCGCCTGGTGGTTTGTCACAGTGCCGAAACCCTGAGGCCCTAACGCACAGTCCTTTTGCTCTGGGTCGACCCGAAGTGCGCCACCTCTGTTGGCCCATGACCAAGCCGACGGGGAAGCAGCACATTCGTGTGTTGGAAGAAGAGCTACTTTGATCCGAGGATCGAGGTGGAGAATGCTGGGCCTCAGATGTCAGAGCATGACCAGACAGCTTACCCAAGTTTACTTAGCTACAAAATATGGCTTAGCAAACGGGATAGGGGTTAAAAAAAATTAAATCAGGATCAAA